TGTGTGTGTGTGTGTGTGTGTGTGTGTGTGTGTGTGTGTGAAAGAGAGACGAATGTGATGTCCTTATAACAGCGGATTCTCGTTTCGAACGTCATCTCGGCTCGGGGAATTAAACGTACGCGCGCGTGTTTTTATAACCGTAATAATAATATTTCCATAAGTAATTATTTATTCGGCTACCTAATCGAACGGGTATTTAACAGCGGCGCGGTGGCGGTGTGTTTTTTTTTTTTTTTTTTACCGAGTTTCACGTCTCTCGTCTATTTTTCTCTCTCTCTGTCACTCTCTCTCTCTCTCTGCCTCGTACCACCTCGCCGTATGCGCGTCCTCCCCTGCGTTTTACCTCGTCCGGCCTGTCGCGATGAGTAACTGCCCCCGATAACGAATGTCTGTTAACGACCCTCGAATATATACATGTAATTTAATATAATATTATACGGGCATTGAAACACGATAGATAACTGACTAATGGGAACGCGTCTGTTGACATTTTTTTCGGTTTTTTTTTCGGTTTTTCAGCAGCACATACGTCTTCATTAAGCGTATTAATATTGTTTTATCGGTACACACCGACGAGGCGTGTATCGGCCGCGGAACGGCAGCAGCCCGATAGTATATAGCGTTATTATCTAATCGCGGACCGTGCCGGGCGTATGTTTCAACGCGCAGTAATAGGTATTATAACGGCGACGCGTTTTGAATTTTAAAACCCGACGGGCAAACGGCGGGCACGTTACATATACAATAATAATAATAATAATAATAATATTACGAGTATGTATATTTATAACCGGCACACAACGACAAAAAATGCATACGTCCGCTGAATCGCCGGCGCCGCCGCCGCAACGACTCCGACGAACGGACTGATAAATTATTATAGTGTGTTTTTTCGACGATATTTTCGAATTATTTTACCGGTAGTAAAAAAAAAAAAAAAAAACGCCCGTGAGAAGCACATGGCTATGTTCCGTGACTATGTAGAGTCGAATTTTCCTCCGGTCGATTTGTCGTCGTCGCGTTATTTGAATTTTTTTTTTCACATAGGTAATATCCATCTAAAATTGGTATACGGAGGAAGCCCGGGTTTCGTTCTAAATTTTAATTGGAAAACATAAAATTTGAAAGTTCGATCATTAACATGATCGGAGAGGGGGTTGAAAGTTGAAATGATCAAAAGGCACGTCCTTGATGTTTAAATCATGTTTATATATATACATCAAAAGTCATCCCCCTGGCTTAATTTGGAGGACGGGATTTGTTAGGGTGTACGTAGCCAAACAACACGCTCCTCTATCAATAACACGGTGAAATTCATGTCGAAATTCAACAAAACACTTCAATTTGTTTTTATTTTTCGAGTTTGAGCTAATATTGTCCAGAGAGATCCACATTATACTATATAGCTAGGTACTTTATACGACTACGAATTTAAACTTGGAAATAGGAGGAAAACGGACGAAAATAAATCGTTGAAAGTAAAACATTGTGGGAGATCTTTGGATCGGTAAACGGTAACATAACCGGAGAGTGAAAATGAAAGAATAAACAGAGAGCTACAAATAATGTTTTTAAATGTAATAGAAAAGAGATTATAAAGCAGGAAAAGTGATATGGGCTGGGCGTGAATGGATGAAAGTTAAAACCCACTATTACAGGCAGTTCAAAAACAGAATCCCATATAGCTGGAAGAAGGCCTTTGCAGAGAAGACGAAGGAGGAGACGGGAAGGCGTGGTAAAAAAAAAATAAAACGTGTAGAATGAGAACGGAGTCGAAGGATTGATTGTGAAACAAGTTAATCGTAGAAGCCGAAAAACCCAAATAATAATAACGATAATAATTTAGTCGATATTTAAATGAAAACGACCACTAAAACTCAAAATCATTGCAAACGCAATCCGATCCTGAGCGTGAAGCTCGATCAAACATAATTATATGATGTTTCATTGTGATAATTTAAATCGTGCATTGATTTCTCATCACAAAATAATTTACTAGTTTTCGTAATTTATACGTGCGGCCAGCGGCGGTACCATTGCCGTTTTGAGAATTTCACGCGAGACGGATTATTAGTCGACGGCACTGTGCAACATGACGACGAGACGACACGGTAAGGCCGAAGAAACCACGTCATCATAGCTGATAAATGGTTTTAAATGTTGTTATTTTTTTTTATTCAGTTTTCTCATCGCGTGTCTAAAGGAATGATCTACTGCTGCTACAGCCGACCGAAGGCATCGATATGTAAGTTACAGCGCACTTGTTTCTGGGGTAAACGTGTTTACAAATATAAATATCTACGGAGATATACGATGCAGTTGTGCAATTTTATCGTGTAGTTTTTTATCGGGAAGTGGTAAAATCTCGGGGAAAAAAAAACACCGGAATGTTGAAATTACTGATTTAAATATACCGTAATATGAAATTAAAATACATTGAAAATTTATATTTATGGAGCACAAAATATATTAAAAACAAAAAATTATGGATCGTAAAATCAACGGAGTTTAAACACATTGACTGTAATAGGTTTGAAACTATAGTTGTAATTTAACTTAAAAGTATTAAACATATTATTATATAATATAGTTCTAGTTATAATAACTAATAAAAAAAACGGGGAATTCAAATTTCGGACTTTAAAATTACCATAAAACCACATGTGAAGAAACAAAAATAGTTGAAATTTATGTTTTACAGATTGTAATTATGACAGAAAATTATCGAAAGTGAACCTAGCAGGAATTAGATACCTATCCGGTCGTAAAACGTTCGAAATGTATACGTAAACCTCTAAGAAAAAAAAAATGACCAGAATTAGTATACCTAATTTTTCAAATAGTTTTCTATTGTTAAGAGGTTATTGAAGTAAATAAAGTAAAATATAAAATAAATTGCAGCCGTACTTTGTACTGTAAAAAATTTTACCGTCGTGGTCGTAGTTTGCACACTGATCCGGTATACGTTATGGGGGACCGGAGTTATAAATATTATTTAGCAACGGTTTTCGGTGTAACCAGCATACATTAAAAAAAATATATATCGATTAATTATTTTCTATTTTTTTGTAAATCGGTTAAAAATAATTATATGGTAAACCGATATTTTTCCATTTATTATGCTGTTCTACATATGTATGTGTATATATAAATATACACATATCTTTTTTCAGTTACTTTTTGCGGCCCTATCTGGACCAAAATGTGCTCAAACTTGAGGAACTTTTAATGAACGGATTGAACTGATGCACTTTTTGTTAAATTTCACTATTTTATATCAATTAAAAAAAAAAAAATGAAATATTGTAATTGTAATAAGTAGACTGTGAGAAATTTGATTCTCGGGGTGTATTTTTCTATTTGTTTTCGTACAACATAAAAAGTCATAGTATTATCAGAGCGGAGCGAGGAATGTATTGGTTTTCTATAAACAACTTTTTTACCAGAAATTTTACTTCAAATACCAAGCATAGCATCTTTTCCGAATGAAAATTTGACTGAGTTGGTACTTTATAAAGGTAATTTTTGATTTTCTCAGGAGTTTTCTTAATAAATGGAAAACGAGAAAATGTACGTTATGTATTATTTAAAAGTTGTAAATATTATAGCCTTTTAAAACATGTATAACCGAACTCCGCTCAGCATCGTTTTTCGTTAACAGTGATTAATCTCTGCATATCTTATATACATTAAATTTCTCCCCGCCCCCCGTACCTTCATAAATTCTTACCTATAGCAGTGGCTTACTCATCGTGCGAAGTATGTTCGTATTTTTAATTTGTTATATTTTCGAGAGCTAGAAGAACTGGAGTGTTTTGAAATGTTTCTAGGTTCGTTTTGTATACATTCGGTATGTTCATCGTGTTAAAAAGAGGTACCAATAAACACTTTAACCGGATGGACTTTAAATTGCAATAGTGGTATTGTTTTGAGAAAGATTTTTGCAGCTGATGGATGAGTATTGTAATAAAAATAAATGATTTTTGGTTTTTGTCACCCCGGGACAATGGGCCGGTTAGACGAAAAAATCCGACCATACACCGATGGAAATGCGATTTCGATCCGTAGTTTAATAATTACCTGCAAGTATTATTTTCGGTTCATTTCGGGGTCGTGCGTCGTTGTCGAAAGATTCTCTTTGTGGCCGCTCGTCACGTTATTGGCACGTATATACTACAGACAATTGTTAATTGATATATTTGTCGACTATTATTATTAATGTCGAGAGACGCGAGTGGGAACAGAGTAATTAGAAGAAGAACGAGAAAACATCGCGGAGGTTAATGAGAACCGCCTCCCCGCGGTGACCTCTGTGGAACTTGACGCTAAACGGTTCTCGAACGTCAAATCAGGTATATTATAATATTTTTATTAAAAAAATAACGTGTACACGTAATACGCTTTTAGAGGAAACGGGCGGACAAGCATAGGTAATAATATGCCATTCTCGTTTTGACATCAAAACATAATGTATACATAACATATTATAATATTGTTCGTCCCACCAACGTTTTTTTTTTTTTTCTGTTTTTTATTCGTAATAAAACCGAGTCCGGCACGTTTATAATATGAAACTTTTAGATTGTTATCTTCGTGTCGCAATACAGGAATAAACAATATAATGTTAAGAGTGTGTGTAAGTATGTGCGCACGTGTGTGTGTGTGTGTGTGTATGTGCGCGAGCTTTATTACCATACGATATAACCCATTAACGTGTAAATAAATCATAATTTTGTCAGATATCTTTGGTAAATTTCTAAAAACAAAAAAAAAAACAGTTTTGAGTTGTTTATTATAATATAACTAGGTATCTGTTTCTTGCACGCATATTGTCATTTGCTTGCTCAAGTCAATACTTAATCATTATAATCCAGAGAAAAAAACAATTAATTTAATATACCCACATGAATTTATAATTTTTGGACAAAACAAAATTATATAATATAAAACAAACATTAATATATCAATAAAAAAAAGTGCTCGTTTGTTTGTTTCTCTACGTCCAAATCTATCGCATGCAGAAGTTTAGAAATTTCCATAGAATTCTCTATAGGTACTATGGCGGATGATCATATCTAACCTACGCCTCGAAGCCGGATTTCCGAAATTCAATCCATAACATTATTAGTGACAGCCAAATTAATTAATAAGAATTTCGTTTTCAGCCGTATCACCGAGATAATCCATAGTTAATAAAGAAAATTAAATGTCCGAAAAACAAAAAAAACTAAAAGCTTTATATGAGTCAGCCTTAATAAAGCATAGAAACGGTTTGCATAGCACGGCTAACTGTGATAAGATGAGCTGCGGCGGAAACGGGGTTACACGTAAAACTGAATTTTCTTTATCGATTTTGGCTTTTCAAAGGTTTTTTTTTTAAAATTCGCTTGTTAATAGTCAAAATGAGGGTGGGGGAGGGGGGTGGAATTCAATCGCCACACACAATGACAGACAGAACAGCTATAGTATTATATATAATATAACTATGTAAATATAGTTTTTCATCGTTAGCCTCAGCCATGCTAGGCGTAAACAAAAAAGTACGGTAAAGGCGTAATGATGTGAGCTAAATATTGGGGCGATCGGCTAGTAGTTTTCTATTGTTTAATAGAAAAAAAAATAATTTCGACTTTCACGTGTGTATACGGGCGACCGGTCACGAGTCATGACCCGACCGAAAACCGATCGTAAATATTAATAAATATCGCGCGGCATCAGCTCCTCGGAGAATCGAAGTACCCGAGGTGTCGGCGGCTTTTCAAAAAAAAAAAATAATAATAATAATAATAATAATTTGTACGGTGTATAAATAAGTAAATAAATTATGGAACAAAAATTATTAATAGGTATACCTATGTATATTCGGACGAAAAAATAAACGCCGCCGCGGTTTTAATAACAAGACGGCGTCGTACGTGCCGAGAGACTTAAACGCTCGTAACCGTTTCGGGGCGGCGCGCGTGAAAACCTCGCGTTTCCAATACTGTATTATGCAGGTATATACAATAATAATAATAATAGTAATAATACGACTTACGATAGTATTACAAACGGGAGCCGGGCGAGAATGAAAGATCTGCGGCTATATTATTATTATACTGCGGGCAGGCAGAGGAGTGTCGATTACGACGATGACCGCGGCAATAATGGAAAATAATCCGAAACGTCCAAATCGATAAACATCAAATCAAACACGACGACGCGACGGATGAGAAACCCGTTTGGCGGCTTTGCGCTGTCACGTAATTATACTATATAATATTATTATTATTATATGTTGACCTATAGGTGGACGCTTAGGTTTTGGGCGATTTAACTAAAGTAGAGAAAAAAAATAACAAGTAATATACGAGGAAAAACTGTTCCGTAAATGGGATATTTCGTTTTATAATTGGCGTCTTCGCCGTCATCCGCCGTCCAAGGTACGCGAGTGTGCGAGAGGACGGGCGACGAGGGTTTTTCTTTTCACGTAGCTCATAATGTGTAAATAATATAATAATAATACCTATATGCATTCGTATTTTTTCGGTCTGTCAAAATATTTATTATACTACTGTCCGTTTGACTGCCACGCCGCCGCCATACCGCGATAGGTATATATTATAGGTGCCTCTACGCTAAAAAGTCGTATAGGAAAAAAATAAAAAAAATAAAACAAAAATATTTCCATCGTCGTCGTCACATATGAAGTATTACGAATGTTTTCGGCGAGTGAATCGAACACGACACGAAAACGTAGAAAATAAAAAAAAAAATCGTATTGTGTTTCGGGTTGTTGTTGAAAAACACGAGACAAAAAAGAACAACGAAATAAAAAACAACGAACAAACGAAACCAAAGACACGAAAATAATAATTGTACCTACAACGGATAGGAGTGCGGGTGGGTTGTATTTTAACCGGGCAATAAAACGATAATAATATTATGCGGCCGCGGAAAGCACAACAATACGATCGTAAACCATATTATACAACAACAACAACAACAACAACAACAACAACAGCAACAACAACACCGTCAACAATATGTTATTACATTTTCTTAACTATTCTCGTTTCGTATGTAATATTCAGCTCTCTGCGCGCGAGACGTTGTCCGTACTTGGATGGCGATACACGCTATTATATTATTATAATATAGTGTCGTTTCTTTCATATAAGAGCCGGCGCATTATAAACCGAAACTTATGCCGGTACATAAAAAAATACTCCCCCGCCGTCGAACGCAAAGTGGATTTTTTCTCCTTGTTTCCCCCCGCTATCGTCGTCGTCGTCGTTTAATAATAATAACAATAATAATAATAGTGATAATATTATACTCTCGTTAATATTATGCAGCCATGTCCGCCGCGAGGGTTCGAAACCTATAAGAATACGTACCGATCTCCACCCCCTCCCCCCACCATCAATTCTTTTCCGTAGTAATACTAACGTATCGGTATTATTATTATTATTGTCTCGTACCCGACCGAGACCACCACACATTTGTTCACTAATAGTGTAATATTATGTCGGGACGACGACGACGACGACGACACAGAGTTTTGTCGGCGTGCACGGGGAGAAATGATTATTATTACTATTTATTGTAATATCGTATACTAAACGGCCGAGTTCATGCGGGTAATATTATTTTAACGACGTATACCTACCTGCGTACTCTACCGTAAAAAATATCCGTTAAATATATTACTATACGAACCCGCAACACCAACCCCTCGAGGTCGACTAAAATCTAGAGTCTCAGACCAATAATTTTAGGCGTTGAATCCGAGTCCTGTGTATTTTTTGCGATTTGCTGTCGGACAAAGTGCAGTGATTGTGATAAAATAAAAACGCTCGTTCTTCCGCTTGCGGACAACCAAACAATCAATATCGAATTTCGATTCCGGAATAGCGTTTAACGGTTTTTGAATAGATCAATTTAAATTCTTGGTTCAGTAAATTCGATAGACCTTCACTCACCTCTACACACCACAGTTTTACTTTCAGTTATTTGAAAGTTGTTTTCACTACGTCTCCTATGATCTATTTTATAAATAGAGTTCATGACCAACCTCTTCCAGCATTTCTGTTTACCGTTTCTTTTATTCTTATCAGTTACTGTTATCCATTCGTGTTTTTCGTTATATGTCTGATTCACTGCTCTCCCTATCCTTAATTTTGTTTTCGTATTAATTTCTGTCCATTCATTATGAATTATATGTCTTAGAGACTCAGAGCTTAGTGACGGATCAATTGGTTTAAAATGACGGGTGTTTTTTTATCTGTGATCAACTTTTCGATCACAAAATTTGCTCAAATTGAAAAAAAAATATGAGATCTTTGTTGATACATTTTAGATGTAGTTGGTGCATTAAAGAGATCATTTTATGGTGTTTCAAAGAGTTTTCATAACGATTGGGAAAACCGGAAAACAAATTATTGGAAAAAAGGGATAAATATTTACGACACATTACGGCGTTGTCGATTTAAATTGTTTTAAATTTTTGAGTATTATATTATCTACCAGCAATCTTACTTTGATTAAAAAATGTCAATTTTTCAAACAAATAATTCCTTTTTTTTTATTTTCTAAGAAGTTTTCATAATAGTCGAAAAACTGGAAAATATATTAAATGAAAACTGATAAATTTACGGCGTTATGATTTCTTTATTTTCAATTTTTACGATTTTTGTTTTCTGTTTGCTCCACTAAAAAAACAACAGGAAATCATTTTTGTTGCATTTTTAATCTAATTATTGAATAAGAAAATCGTATTGATTTTCTCTATAGTTTCTTTTAATAATTGAGAAATACCGAAAAAAAACATAGAAAAAACGGAAACATTTACAAACAAAATGTTTTTATAAATTTCAATTTTATTTGTTTGTTGTACTTCAGTTAAAAGTATTCATAAAGACTTGCAATTGTGATATAAAACTAATATTTGGCTTTTCTAAAAAATATATAATGATTTTTAAGCTATTTATAGCTATTTTCGAATCAAAAAAAAAAATTAAAATGTCTCGTGTGTTTTGTTTGGAGTAATATTTCTGGTGGAGAACACAGTGCATACAAATAAAAAACAATGATGTATTCTGCAACGCAGCGTTACGCTGTTAATATTTGCTGTTTTTCCTATATTTATATTTTTGAGTTTTTCAATTATTTTAAAAGCTCCTTTGAAAAATTAAACTTATCTTCTTTTATCTATAAACTGCTTTACAGATAGAAAGAAAAACATACACCAATGTATCCCTCGTTCTGCTCCAAATTTAAAATTTTCTGATGAACGTAATTAATGTAACAGTTGTTGGCCGGTTAATACATATTTAATCTGAAAAAAATTTAAAAGTACATTAACTAATACCTATATTAATACATTACCTACACTAATTTTGAAAATTAGTAATTAAAAACTTAAAATTAAAAAAACTATGTAATTTAGACCAAAAAATAAAGAAATAATATTACATTAGACGAAATTATATAAAAAAGAAGGACACACTTCACACGATGGGTGAAGCCACTGTTGTTGGTGAGAAGTTGGGAAGGTAAGATACAGACAGAAAGTTAATGTATATCGGTAATCAATGATAAACCATTGCTTACGAAAAATGCTCCTGAGCGGAGTTTAGTTGAGAGTGATGATTTGTCAACGATATGACATTAAATATTTGTTAAATATAAACTATAGGAGAAAAATGACTGGTAGAAAATTTGTTCACAGGAAAAAAGAAGGCCGTAATATTTTTAAGTATTAAACTAATATCTACATTTCTTTTTTCCACCTTTTTTTTTCGGTTTTTCATATTTGTTAAAAAAACTCCTGGGAAGATCGAAAAATTACCTCTTTAAAATATTAATCCAAACAAATTTTCTTTCAGGAAAAGGTCGTCATCGTATACATCGGAGTAAGCTTTCTGGTAGGAAATGTTTTCACGTAAAATATAAATTAAAAAAATAAACATCTTTGTAAAACTAATACATTATTCGCTCAGCTCAGAATTTAAAATTGCCAAAAATTGAAGTAAGTCATTATTTCTCGGGATCGAGAATATGTATCAGATATTTTTGGCCACACACAATATTATGTAGAGAAAATCAACTTTTTACTTTATAAAGCTAACATTTGAACTTGAAAAAAAAACGTAATAAATTCGTCACTAGAAAAAAAAAAATAAATGGATAAAAATATTTGTTTAAGCGAATGAACAGAATAACATAAAATTATAATAATTTTACTCACCTGAACACATTTCGTTCGGATCGAAATATTTTATTTAACGAGCAGTTTGATTTAGAGATTTAAAAAACCTGCACAATAATAATTACCATCATTAGTGTGTTAGTTCAACTGCTGGCTAACGACCGATACATCTGCAACGGTTGCCTCATATATCTCCATTACCGACAGGAAATATTTTAAGCAGTGCGGTCGTTGTAATTCAATATAAATTCATCCAATTTCCACAACGGCCGCAAACGTGTTGACAACGAAACGAACGGGGGAAAAAAAATCACAGCCAAAGGATCCGCTGCCAGTCGTCTTTTTAACATTCACCGTCGACGACCGTATAATTCAAGTAATGTGTGGCTATGTGTAATTATACACACACATCAGTTTTTAAATTAGTAATAGCTAATCATTTTTTATTTTCTTTCATTTTTTCAGGAATCATCAATATTTCTATTACGGGATCATATTCCAATCAATACTTTGGTGTCGACTCCACGACAATTAATGGTTCATGTGTTCAATTAATACTGTACTGATACAATTATTGATTATTTTGATGACTATTTCAAACACCAATATATTCAGTACGCCTATTGACAAAACACCACTACCGACCGATAGTCGGTCCGATCCAGTCGAATATCGCAAACGTCATACAGAATCCATCAAAATATGTATTATTAGTTTTTATTTATTATAAGTTTTACCACTTATAGTACGAGCACTCGTTACAATGTTTATTTTTTCAAAGTTTCTCGTTTTTTTCGCCGTTTTTTTGATTTTAATTCCAACTGGTGTATGGTTAGAAGGAGGGGGTCACGGGGGTGGTCACGGGGGTGGTAACGGGGGTGGTCACGGGGGTGGTCACGGGGGTGATCACGGGGGTGGAGGGGAAGAGTCCGACGGGAGTGGTTTCGGAAGCGAAGAGAGTCCCTCTCCAAAATCACCACATGACGATGGCGACTCTGGAACAGCAGTTCTTACTGGTGCTGCTGCTTATGGTGCTACACCTAAACATCATCATCATCATCGTCATCGTTTTCATATTCATATTTGTCCAAGACATTGCCGCGTTCATAAACATAAACAAAAAATGCATTGTTTTACCAGACGTGTTAAGAAAAGAGGCTTATGTTTTTGTTGTAAATTTTGAAAAATATCAAAAAAGTACCTAGTAGTTGACTGATTAGTATTTAATTTTCATAAAAAAAAAAAAATCTTAAAAGAATTTGATTCGCTTTATTACAAATAGTATGTTAACTGTATATATAAATTACACATATAAAAACAGTAAGTAAAACAAGACAACGTAATGTTATAATCAATAATAATGTTGCTTAGAATTTTTACGCATTGGGCTACATTGGGTCTATTTTTTTTTTTTTTTAAGTTATATTGTAAAAAATTGTGGAAGTATATTTAATGATATATACCCCACATAGAGGGAAATGTAAGCTATCACATTTGTGTGTAATGAGTTCATCAATTTATTTATGTCAACCGTGTAACTAATGAAGAAAGACCTGCATAAAATAACAATGCATTTACAGCGCATGCTCCTAAAACTTCATAAATACGACCTGGAAGTATTGTACACTCCGGGTAAAAATATGTTTATAGCAGAAAAATTATCAAGGGATTTTCTTGAGACTAAAGAAGAAAACGATACAGACCACGATTTTGTAGTACATGAGTTAGCGTTGGCGCTAGCGATGTCAGACGAAAAAAGGCAGTTGTTCAGCGAAGAGATATGTAATGAATGATTTTTGTAGTTGTTAATTCAGCAGTACAATGAGGAGTGGCCTGAAAAAAAAAGCAGAAGTACAGTAAGTCCTCGTTTAACGTCATCTCATTTAACGTTGTTTCACTAATGCTTCGAAGAAGTTTAAGCCCTTGTGTTTTGTTTAACCCTGAAACGGTTTCGGTCATGTAACGTCATTTGTAATACATGTGTTCATCAAATTTTCGTTGTATTTATGTATTTATTTATATTCTATATGAGTCGTATAAGCCTGCCGTATGTACCTAATCTTTTGAACAGCTTAAAATGCTTGAAATATAGCGAAATAGTCAACACTAGACTCGTGTTAGATTCTGAACGGAGCGGAAAAGAATATGGTTTTACAAAGATGTTTTTTTTTTTTTTTTTTTTTTTTTACGAACAACTTTTCTATCAAAGAATTTGTTCCGATTTTCACGTGTAGCACTTTTTCTTGAAAGGAAATCGGTATGGGGAAATATTTTAGAATTGATAGCTTCTGGGTAATCAAGAAAGCAAGTACTCCTAGGTCATATATCATAGAGAACTGAACGGAGAATACATACAAGAGAACTTTTAAGCACCTCAGGCTTAGATACTTGAGTGATGAAGAGAGTGACGATGACCAAAAAAACAATAGATGTAAAGAAATGTTGAAAAAAAATATAACGGCACCCAGTGTCTTTTTCGTCCCTTACATCCCTCAATGTCTTAACAGAGACAGAAATTTAATTAAACATAAAGACTTCTTGTATTATTGAATTGAAAAAAACAAAAAAAAAAAATCACGTAGAGAAATTCATTTCGTGTGTCTTAATACTACTACCATTATCTTAGTTATATAAGTGTTAGGTATATTATAAAGTTTATATTGCTATTATAATTACTATTACTATTATTTGTGTGTGTGTTTTATCTTGTACATTGATACTAAACGGGGAGGTATCATGTTGGTGTCACCCAACACGTGATCGCAATATTGTTTATCCTCATTCCGTCTGTGCCAATTTGCGTACGTCGATGTACGCGTCCATAACGGTGTATTGTACTAATATAGTCTACGCTGTTATTATTGTTTTTAATTAATTATGTTACCAGTTGCTGTCAAATGCTCATTAATATACAAAATAAATATTGTGTTATTTATACTTATATACACCAATAAATATCGTGTTATTTGTCGTTTCAATCGAAAAAAGTACGCATCATTACAAAACCAATACACAATATGAAAAGTAACAGTTGTTCAGTCATAAACGGAAAAATGCGTACCTATCTGAACATGTTTTTTTTTTTTTTCGAATCATTATTTTAATGTAAATGTAATAGACAGTTTGTATAAGAGATTTAAAAAATCTGCCCAATAATTAACATTGATATAATAATCGTTTAATCATTCAACGACTGGATGACAATTGACACAACTGCGTAAGGTATTAAACGTTTTCGCGATTTGTTAACCTCGGACGAAAATGAGTTTCGTTCAAACGGACAAGATGTTTAATTACTATTCGTATTAACATAATATGTTATTTTTATTTACAATTTTATGATTACACTCATACGAGTATAATATAATAAATTACACTAGCCAAGTCGACCGGAATTTAATGCGATGGTCGTGTCCGCGGTTCAGTCACGCGTATGACGCGCCGCTTTTTCGCACTTCATTTAATTTGTTGTCGCGTGCACAAATCTCGACTAATTATTTTATACGCACATAATCATGCACCTGCGCGATTTTCTTTAAACGATTTCAAAATGATGTTAAACATGCATAATTAAGTTGTCACCGTACTACAAACGCACGGCATATTGTAACGAATTTGCGTGTAGCAGAACCAATTTTAGGCCGTTAGCTTTAACGTATCTATTACATATTGACCTTTAATATCAAAATTAAAGGGAATAATATTATCTGTAGTGATTGTATGTTGGTTTTTAGTTATTTTGATTTAAAGTGTCTAAAATATGACAATATTTAAATATGGTACTGAAAAATATAAATAAATAAACGGGATATACTTCGTACTTGTGGTGGGCCACTGATGCAGGGGAGAAGTTAAGAACATTGGAGGTAGTGGGGAATTTAATGTATATATTTTGTGCGCGACGACAAACCATTGTCAACGGAAAACGATTCATAGCGAAGTTGGGTTATATATGTTTTGAAAGGCCGTAATATTTACGATTTTCGTCAAAATTTGATATTAACATTTTTATAAAAAAAGAATACTGTATTAAACTTAATAAAGAACCCAAGAATTAAAACTTACAATATTAAAATCCTGTTAGATTTGCATACATTTCTGGTTATTTTAACAATTTTATCCACAAAATACTTACCGAATGCAAATTACGTAAAAAACTCGCAAAATTAAAACACCTATAAATAACTCAAAAATAACTAATAAAAAAAGCTTTTAAAAAAAAAATTGGTTTTAAAACCAGTATGAAAAAAATAAATAAACATTACTACAATTCAAATCTTTTTTTTATTTATTATTTTTATAAATTACATATTACCTCTGAAGCAATAGTTGCTACAAAAAAGTAATTAGTGAGTTCAGTTTTCTTAACAATCTTCTTTGAATTTTCCATTGCTCTGCTTCGATTTTGGTAAATTACCATGTGAAATTAGGGTTGAATTACTGAAAATGGGAAAATCGTTTGAATGTATTCGAGCTTTACATTTTTTTTTTTACATTTTCGATAAATTTTCAATCAAACCTTTCGTTAGGTCATCGAACATCGAACAAAGAACAAGCTAATAACTGAGATATGGATCAAAATATTTATCAGATTGCTGAAGATAAAACAAGAAAAGTTATTTACTTAGTTAAATAAAATATTTAAAACATTATAGTTATTAATATCTAATCAATATTTTAATTTTAATTTAAAAGCTATGGGAACATGAATATTTATTAAAGTTTACATCTATAATAGTGAATATTTAATATACAAAATAGACTAGATTTGTAAAATAAAATAAAAACAACTTAGGCTTAATGCTTATGTTTGCAAAGCAAAAATGATGATATTTGTTATAAGTACTTATTTCAATGATAAATTTAACTAGATTCGCAGAGCAGAACAAAAATATTGAATTTTAGTAATATTTGTAGCATAAATGCACACATAATAGTTTTTTTGCAAATTGGTACTTTCATTTGGTTATTTTTTCACTGTTGATTTTTTTTTTTTTTATAATTTATATTGTGCAATTTTTTTATTGCTTATTATTATAATTTATTGTTGTAATAATTTAATCATGTAACATACATATATTATTATTTCGCTGATAAAAAATAAAAGTCGAGTAGCGCGTTTAATGACAAACAGTCAGTATAAAAGAAGAATCGATAAATAACGAATACTTGAATAGTTATGGGTCGCAAGTCTTACCTTATCACCGTACCCCCACATCCCATTTGCGCTACTGCCTCGCTCACGTGCATATCTTCGTAGAATACGTTTAATGACTTTCGTACGAGTTTATTTAGTACAATAAATTTAATATAATTTACTATAATAATAACGAATAGATACATACATATAATAATAGATAGTAGTTATACGTAACAATAACAATAAACTAGATAAGTGTGGTTGGACAAAGCGTCGGGTATTTTTGGCGATGAGATAATTCCAATGAGATTTAAAGTTGAGTTCTGAACAAGTGTGGTGAGGCCGACCATGTTGTACGAGTCGGAGTGTTACGCGGTAAACGGATAACGAGTATATGCGATATGCGAACACGCTTAGGTGGACGATTGGAGTGACGAGATAAGGTTAGATAAGGCAGGCATGAGTGCATAAGAGATGAAATGAGAAAAAAAAAAACAGACAGAAACGGTTTGAGTATATTACGGGGGAGAGAGGAATTTGAACCGGCGAGAATTATAATGAAAACGAACGTGGGCAAGAGTAAGCGTAGAGTAAAACTGAAAAAAAAAAAAATGGCGATCGAACGCGATTGAAAATGATATGAGGGAAACCGGCGTATGCGAGGCGTGAGATCGAGTCACGGGGAAGTATATAACGAGAGTGGCCGAGCCCGGTCAGTTGAAATAATATCGGAGGAGGATAGGGTAATAAACCGACGCCTCTGACGCAATAACAACGGACCAATTCCATTCCGTTGTTGACCGTTTCGCCGTGTTTCAACACCGTTCCCACGGTCAAACATATTTAGAACTTTATCGCGCAACGAGTACCTAACCGTCGGCCGGTCGGACAAGTCGATTTCCCGGAAAACGAATTCGGACGAAATATTCCGGATTCGTCTTTATGTCATTTCCGAGCGCCCGCTACGGTGAATTCGTCGTGTTTCAGGAACGGTATAAATAATTGCCGTGTCCGCCGATCTTCGCGGTCGACTGTCTGGACCGGACGTACGGTCCTATCGAAAACCTCGTCAGATTAGGATTTGTTTTTTTTTTTTTTTTTTTCGTTTGTGTGTGTTATCGTTTAATAACATTTACGTCGAGTTCTCGTAATATATGCATATATTGTCATTGGGCGCTCACAGGTTTATTTGTTTTTGTCGGCCCGACCGACGGTATTAAAAAAAATATTATATTTCGATTTATCTTCCGTTTCCATCGCGGGCGGTTAGGTTTCGTAATCAATTTTTTTTTTTTTCTTTTTTTTTTAATTTCTATATTCGACACAACGCAGCAATATAATATCTACTTATTGATAAAAACGTGCGACGGCGTTATTAACATTTCCAAAACGGTTTTTACATAACGTTATAATGATAATTCCGAACTCGTTTTGGGTTTTTTTTTTTTTTTCAAAGATGTTTTTTTTTTTATCTCACCCGTGATCCGACACGGAATGTACTGACGCGTCGCGTCTCAATATGCATTCAATAATTTATATTATACGTCTTACACGTCTCTTATGTAGTACGGTAGCAAGCAAAATAATTTCCGTCGGTTGAGGAGAGACCGGTGACGGGCGCTTATGATTATTAAAATTAACTAATAATTTAGATTCTGAGTGCAATTCGGGTTTACTATTGTGCGATGGTTTTTTATACGCGTGTGTCTGCGAACAATACCTAATTTGTTTACCAGAAACCTTCATCCTATTTTCAAAAAAAAAAAATAAATAAAAAATATGTTACACTTGATACATCGGAGCAAGATTTCTGGTAGAAAAGTTTGCACAACAAATCGAGGGGGTATTATTCAAATAAAACAGTCGGAGGAAGCAATAGCTGGGTCTCTAGGTACAACTATAATGCATTTGTGTTTTCTACGTTTGGGTAAAAGGAAAAAAATAAATACAAAAAAAAATTTTCAAGACATGGGTTTAAACTCGCGATCTCAAGGATGATAATGATAATGTATCCATGTAGCAACCATTTGGCTGTGATAAAGAGACTAAAATAAAGTACAATATAGAATTATTTAACATAACATACAATATCTGCATAATATCAGAACTATAAAAAGCTATAATTTGGAAACTTAGTCAGCCCACTCAATTCTGACTACACTATCGTTCTTAAATCGGTAATATACATATGTTAAAAAAAAGAAAAATTAGATTTGTTCTACATAATTTTATACTCAAACGATTATAGTCAAAATGTGATATTAAAATTTCCTTACAAAAAAAAAATACTACATTTTTTTTTTTTTAAAACAAATACTCTAAATGAACACTCCGTTAAATTTTCAAACATAACTGTTAAGTCAAAAAATTTTACCATAGAGTAGCTACCGAATAAAAATTACGTACAAAAATCGCAAAAATAATATATCTATAAATAGCTCAAAAAAAGCTTAAATTTATTGAAAATTTGACTGCGTCTACAAAATATTAATATAAATTGACTGTCCCAATTTTAGGTCCACAGAAATGATACGAATATTTTACATTGAAAATCAATAAAAAAATTAGCATTTTTATAAAAAGCATAATAATGGCTCAAATATTTTGAAAATTTTACCTATTCTGGAAAAAGCAAATATTAGTTGCCCGATCAAATTTCAAGTCTTTCCAAACATTCACAACTGAATTACAACCAATAATAATGTTGAAAAATAATAACAGCAATATTTTCGTAAATTTTCCGTTTTATCCTGGTTTTTCCCAGATATTTTGAAAATCGCTTAGAAAATGAAAAAATGACTTCCCAAAAGTAACGTCTGGAAAACATTTCTTTCGGAAATGACGTTGTACACGTATATCTGAGTAATATTTCTGGTAGAATTTTCGTACACAGGATAAAAAAAAAAAATTACCCTTAATTGAACCTTTCTCATTGTTGGATTATAAGATTAACGGTACAAACGAAATAACATATCCTATATGAATTATTGTATTATTACCGTATACGATTTATTTTATATTATAGGATTTATACAACGTATAAAATTATGTTTAGAAAATAGTGTATACGTACAAGATTTATTTTTGTTTGTCGAATCGAAATGCCCGTGTATGATTAACTTTATTGATAATATCACCAAACATGCGACTGCTCCCGCACACACTGCAATAAATTAGATGTTACATATTATATTTCTCTGTAAAATTATTCACTATTTTAAATTAAAAGCCGGCAGTATTAATTTGACAATTTCGACGGTCATATTACAATATTATGTTCAACAAGCCTTATAACGTCTCGCCGAAATTCAACGACATCGAACGCTGTCAAATATCTGCGACATAATAAGAACGGTCGACGAACATAGACTTCGAAAACCAAGTTACGGACGTCGGACATTGCGAAGTGTTCACAAAAGTGAGAAATTCAATCTGTATAGTCGAATCAAAGTTACTTTTCTCGAACGTAGTGTACACGCAATGTGTTGGACTGCAACTGTTCGTTGACTAAATTGAATGTTATTGCTTATCATAACTATTACAAAAATGAATTTTGGATATTTTGTTTTTTGTGCTCTTATTGCTCTATTGGTCCCATTCTCTACCGTACCGTTTAATGAAGACTTCGATGTAGCCAACGATGGCCAAGGACGTATTTACGGATTTGCCATATGTAAGGGTAGAGGTGGAGGAGGGCGTGGAGATGGACATGGATTAGGGNTTACAAAAATGAATTTGGGATATTTTGTTTTTTGTGCTCTTATTGCTCTATTGGTCCCATTCTCTACCGTACCGTTCAATGAAGACTTCGATGTAGCCAACGATGGCCAAGAACGTATTTACGGATTTGCCACATGTAAGGGTGGAGGTCATGGAGGAGGGCATGGAGGAGGGCATGGACGAGGACATGGAGGAAAGCGTTCGGGGGGACGTTATGGAGGAAGTTCAAGAAGTAGCTCAAGTGAGAGTAGAGGAAAAAGTTCAGGAAGTAATTTCTGGAGAAGTCCAGCGCACACGTCGGGGAAAACTCCAAAACAAGAGAAGCACAACAAGAAAAATCCATATGGAAAAAAGAAAACGGATAAAAATAACCCAGGTGGCGCCCACAAGCCAGATAATGATAAATCTACTGGATCCGCTACTGCGTTGGCATCTGCGACCCGCTCACACGGTAACCAAACTTCACGTGGTCCGAAAGGTGCTAAAAAACATGTTTAAGGATCCTAAGAGGTTAAAATCATTTTTAGACATAAATGGATTTTTCATACAGGTATTTTTACTTAGTGTTTCCCGTGTAGTAATAATAAGTCTTATAAGAAATGTCTCGCGCACGGTGTTGCGGTCGACACTACCACTACAATAGTAACTATTTGTGTACCAAATAATAATTGTCTTATTTTGTATTATATTTTATAAATTGTTCATTGTTTTTTTTTTTTTTTTAATCTCAATTTACTGTTGTACTTCAAGTTATAATATGTGGACAACTCCAGCTAAAATAACATTCTTCTCCGTTGTATTTAATTGACTGTCTTACTGGTGCAATGTACAAACAAATTTTTAAAACCTAATTAGCGCATAAACACGCATACTATTTACGACAGTTCTTTTGTAGTTTTTATATAAAAATAATTAAAAAATAAAACTAATTACAATTTAGTGACATAATATTTGTATTGTGTATTACTGCATATAATGTATTCATGCGTCACCATAAAACGTATAGCCTTTGTCGCGCGCGCCAGTTTTCTTTTTTTTAGGCGTTTTATTATACTTTAATACGATTTATTTCGTACTTCTCCGTGCAGTCGGGTTATAATGTGATAATAATATTGTGTTGACGATATCGCTTTGCTGACAAAAAAAACCGCGTCCGCGTTTCCGCGTATTAGTATAATACGAATATAATATATTATTATTACAACAACAACAATAATAATAGTAATAATAATCGGTACTCGCCGATGGGCGACAAAACGGTATAAAAAAAATTAAAAAAAAAAAAAAAAAAAACAAACGAGATAAAAAGAAAAAAAAGAAACGTGTATACGATCGGATAATACGGAAAAATCGTAAAATTTTATTGTAATTTATTTCCGTCGTCCGTCGTTATACGCGTTTGTAATGCGCACTGCGACCGTCCGATATTATTGGTCGTATCGTGGCCGTTAAACGCGATGCTTCGGCCGTAATATTATTGCAGTCGCCGTACGGTTCGTGACCGACTTTGTATGGGATAGGGGCACGGGTACGCCACGCGCTACTATTACCCGCGGTTACCGCGGTTACCGCGCGTTATAATTGCGCGCCGGACATACGAATTATTAGCACGGCCGGGGCACCGGTCTACGCAATAATAACGTGTGGCGTGCCTACAACTACGTCGGGATCGCGATCGGGCTGCAGACATTTTGGATGAATCGTGTGGCGAAAAAGCGAAAAAAAGAGCTATTGTCGAACAGTATTGCAACGTGTTCCGATTTTTTCCGGCGGTGTCTATCGTGAAAAATGCGAAACCTCCGTCCGGCGGTAGTCCCGACCGAATTTATTTTCCGCGATTCCCGTCGTGTTCTTTTGAAAGTTCATAAAAACAACAGTATACGAACGAAGACGCGCTTCGGTGTTTGATTCTGAGCGCAGCGAAAAACGTCGGCATTGGTTTTCCTATGTGCGCTAATTTGGTATGTCTGTCAATAACTTTTTTTTTTATCAGAATTATTGGTTCGATTTTCAAGTTTGGAATGTTTTCTGAAAAAAATAATGATTTAGTTAATTTTCTTTGTCGTCTTAATTGTCGGAAAACACTGGTGAAGTACTTAGGAAAAACGGGAAAATTTAGGATAATAACGGTTATATTGTTCTCAATTTCTTTTTTTTGTATTTTGTGTAAGCGGTAGTAGTGTTTGTTAATGGTGACCAAGTAACAGAAATTTTACATCTTAGAACGATTCATTTTTAATTATGCAAAAACAAAAGTTTTCAAAAATAAAAAAATTATATTAATAATAATAAAAAAAAATTGCGTAAAGAGGTAATTTTTAAAGTATACGATTTTAGTAGTTCTCAATCAATTTCCATAAAGTATCATAAAATCTTTTTACACACTATGTTCTTTGTAGACTAATTGAAAAATAATTAAAAGAGATGCAAGATAACAAACGGTAAATGGTATTTTCTTTAGTTTTCAAACAAAAANACATATCCTATATGAATTATTGTATTATTACCGTATACGATTTATTTTATATTATAGGATTTATACAACGTATAAAATTATGTTTAGAAAATAGTGTATACGTACAAGATTTATTTTTGTTTGTCGAATCGAAATGCCCGTGTATGATTAACTTTATTGTTAATATCGCCAAACATGCGACTGTTCCCGCACACACTGCAATAAATTAGATGTTACATGTTATATTTCTCTGTAAAATTATTCACTATTTTAAATTAAAAGCCGGCAGTATTAATTTGACGATGTCGACGGTCATATTACAATATTATGTTCAACAAGCCTTATAACGTCTCGCCGAAATTCAATGACATCGAACGCTGTCAAATATCTGCGACATAATAAGAACGGTCGACGAACATAGACTTCGAAAACCAAGTTACGGACATCGGACATTGCGAAGTGTTCACAAAAGTGAGAAATTCAATCTGTATAGTCGAATCAAAGTTACTTTTCTCGAACGTAGTGTACACGCAATGTGTTGGACTGAAACTGTTCGTTGACTAAATTGAACGTTATTGCTTATTATAACTATTACAAAAATGAATTTTGGATATTTTGTTTTTTGTGCTCTTATTGCTCTATTGGTCCCATTCTCTACCGTACCGTTCAATGAAGACTTCGATGTAGCCAACGATGGCCAAGGACGTATTTACGGATTTGCCATATGTAAGGGTAGAGGTGGAGGAGGGCGTGGAGGAGGGCATGGAGGGGGGTATGGAGGAGGGAGTTCGGGTGGACGTTATGGGGGAAGTGGTTCAGGAAGAAGTTCAGGAGGTAGTGCAGGAAGTTTTCTTTGGGGAAGTCCATCGGACCATTCAGAAAAAGGGAAGGACCGTACTTCAAAAAAAAAGAAGCACAACTGGTGGTCTAAAAAGGGTTTTCGACATCCGTTTGGAAAAAAGAAAAAAGATAAAAAAAATTAGGTGGCTCCCACAATCCAAGTAAATCTACAGGATAAATCTGCTGGATCCGCTACATGCTGTGGCATCTTCGACCCGCTCACGTGGTAACCAAACTTCATGTGGCCAAAAAGGTGTTAAAAAATAGGTTTATGCATCTTAAGAAATTAAAATTATTTTTATACATGAATAGGGTTTTTCGTACAGTTTGTTTACCTATTGTTTCCCTTGTAGTAATAATAAGTCCTATAAGAAATGTCTCGCGCACGGTGTTGCGGTCGACACTGCCACTACAATAGTAACTATTTGTGTACCAAATAATGATTGTCTTATTTTGTATTATATTTAATAAATTGTTCATTTTTTTTTTTTTTTTTTTTTTTTAATCTCAATTTACTGTTGTACTTCAAGTTATAATATGTGGACAATTCCAGCCTAAATAACATTCAATAACAAATTTTTAAAACCTTATTATCGCATAAACACGCATACTATTTACGACAGTTTTTTTTGTGGTTTTTATATAAAAATAATTAAAAAATAAAACGAATTACAATTTACTGACATAATATTTGTATTGTGTATTACTGCATATAACGCGTTCATGCGTCACCATAAAACGTATAGCCTTGGTATTTTATTCAACCCGTGTTCATTTGTACATTAAATTCAGGTCGGCTATTGACGACGACATTACTGTTTTAGTTAAATATTAAATAAATAAATATTGTGTATCAATCCGCATCAGCTGTTTTGTAATTGTCGAAACATTTTTATGTTACGTAATATTACTATTTATATCAACGTGATGAATTTCTATAAGAAATTGCTATGTCGCATTACACGGGATACGAATAGTTTAAATTAAAAATTTCATTCTCGTACGGAAACTTAACAAATTAATATTGTTCGAACTGGACTTGTTCTTCAACGACGGTTCGAGCAAGTTAGTTGTCGACGTGAAGTTTGCGTACCGTTTCCTTTTAATCTTTAACTCGAAAATAATGACTTGCAAATTTTATAATTAAACTTGTGAATTCCCACTTATTGCTTTCTACGTATTGACATAGTTTTTTTGATTTTTTATGAGGTGGCGTGGCCACAACTCCTCGGCAATGTACCTTGCGTATTGTTCGACGATGATACGTTTGGTTAGTGATTGATTTCATGAATCGATATAAAACGGATTAAATTTATTAATCCATATTTAACGATATGTTATCTTTGTAACCCTAGCTTATAATTTAAATTTACACCCTTGACCACACCCTGTGATCAAGTCAACAACGATGATACCGAAACAAATTTACGTTCAACTTAATCCGCTTTATGTTTCTTAATATTTGACCACCGCAATCAACACGGAATTTTCGGATCGAAAATCGACGGTTTTTTAATAGTTGCTATTATATTATTTATGTATATTCATAAACGGATAATTACGATTCTAATATTTACAAGATATTTGAACACCTATGATTATTTAATTTATTGATTTTCATTAGTTTTTCATTAATCTCGCCAGCCGCTACAGAGGATTTAACGGTGTATTCGAATTGGATGTCAGCTTTTACAGTTGTCTGTCCGAATTGTGTTCCATGTACTCAAATATTTACTTAATAAAACTTTTTTATTTTAGATTTTATTTTTATAAACCAAAAAATAATAACATCTAAAATTGTCCAAAAATATGTATTTGTATTTATTCGTAAACAAAATCATAGTTATTAACTCATAACCCTTAATTTTTAACTTTTTTTGAAATATCAATAACACCACTACGCGTTATCATCATTAAATAGCTAAATATTTTTTTCAAATAAAGAAACAAAAAAAAACAGTTAAATACGAAATAGTTTCTCCAGAATATAAATCGAAATGCAATGATCTAAATAATTCTGAATTTAAATTTCAACCCCCCCCCCCCCCTTAGGTGCATTGATCCATTATCAAATGTGACATTTATACAAAAAGACCGTTGAGATCCACGTCCCGGAACGCGTGTAGTTTATTAACGGGTCGGCGGTGATAAAAAAAAAAAAAAAAATTAATAATAAATCATAAACGCAAAAAACCGATTTCGTTCCACAACTTGTAAATTATAAATTATCCGTAAAAATAATAGAGGCCCGTGTGCTGCGCTTGTGTTATCGGTAGGTCCCTATGTCCGCAGGTTGCGTTAGCTGCCGCGGGCGTCTTTGCAGTTACACCGGTATGTTTATTACTGTCACCAAAGAAGACATCCCGAAAACGCGACATGGCCGCCAGACTTTCACCCGTCAGAAGCATAACAATAGATAGTTATAAATTATAAGTAACGATATTATAACCATTTAATATTGACGGTTTCATCGTTGTGATGTATGGCGAAAAAATCTCATATTCGTACGGCAACAGTTACGTGATTCTGTTTCTCAGTGCCACGTTGTCTTCAATGGACGTTGGTTATCATTACGATCCGATATTTTCTGTTTTATGCTGTCCGAAACCGTTAACCCGGTCCGCGTTCTAATGTTTCGTATCCACGTTATTCGTGATCTATTCCTGACCTCCACTCATACCCTCGATATTTTTTCGAATAATAAAACCAAATATCTCGTATTTACCACTACGAATTTTATGTCCAGAGTAAACTAGTTAACGTATTACTGCTGTGCTTATGATATTGTTTCTTTCCCTATTCGTTCTAAAAACATTTTCGTTTATTACACGGTAAATCTACCCAGTGGCGGACTGGGGGGGAGGGGAAATCGGGGTGGACACGCGTAAATAAAGGACCCCTATCACATCAGTTCCAGAACACATAGATCTTATAGCAAGGTACACACAATCGCATATCTAAAAAATATATGTCCCGTAACCACCTATATACTCTAATATAGACTATACTGTTACAATATTATTTTATTTGTAAGTATTACGAAATGTCACGAATACTGTAGATGTGTACTGCCCTGCCACATGAGCCCAATACAGTGTAAAGGCCCAATAATCTTAGGTGCCTCGTATGCGATCGCCCGCCCACTCCCCGGAGCTCATTCCATTTCTCTCTCTTCCCAATCCGGTTTACTTGTCCCCGTTGAATTTTTTTTTATCTAATATGTTTTAGTGATGGAAAGAATCCGGGTTTGTCCGAATATCTGGATTTTCGGAATCCTCCGAAATCCAAAAATATCAACGTTGTACTTATGAAATATGAATTGTCGAAAGGGTTTTTTTTTTTTTTTGATTGTAATAATACTAATTATGATCCCAGGTAAAATTTGTGTGTAAATATTTTTTTTGCATACTATTAATTGGAAAATAAACTACTATATGCTGGCAAAACAACTTTGGGGCGGATACGTCTGTTACGGTGGCGGAACTATAACAAACGAGAGCCCGGAAGGCTCCATTCAGTAGCCGCGGTTGTAACATGTATGCCGTACCTGTTCAATCGAACATATACCTAGTTAGAAATTCGTCTTTGTCATATTTATTTTAAGGTTCAATAACAGTTTTCGCCATACTGTCAGAATAGTTTTATCGAAATCGTTTTCGTTTCATATTACGCGGTCTCCATTCAACTTTTCTAATATTAAAAAACTGAAACTTTATTATAAAATTAAAAAAAAAAAGTGTCGATTTTACAAGATTTTATCGGTTTTGGGTTTAGAATAAAAATCGATACATCGAAATGAATCGAAAAACACGACTGAATACTCCATCTGTTTATGAGAAATTAAAATCAGACGGTCGTTTCAACGCTCAAAAAGGCGAAAAATAAAATCGATACGGCGTCTTATATAGTTGGTTGTTTATTAAATTGTCGAAAAAGTCAATATTTTTCGGAATATCGAGTGTGGACACTTAAACGGATCACCTTGTACATTATACAACGATAAAAAATATTTATTCATTTTCGGCCGAATGCACAATCGATCTGACGCACGGCAACGGATATCAATTGCACCGTCGTCGTAGTATGGACTGCGAAACGAAACTTGCCGGTCGTTTCGCGAAAATGGCCAGGGCCATTCGGTTCGCTCGCCGCGATCCGTTGCTGAACACCGGGGTCACGCCGCGCCCGCGCACGGCCACCGCGCGGGCCCCGAAAGTCGACGCGCGTCCGACCGGGCGCTCGGTCGACGCTCGACGGAAACGCGGAACGCGTACGCGTCGTCGTTTTTCCGGCAGACCGTTGTTCTCGCCCGGCGGAGTTTCGCGGCCCCCTCGAGACGGCGACGACGGCTGGGCGGCGGCGGGTCGGAGGGGGAACGGCGAGGTGGGGAGGGGGTGTTCGTGGGGGGGGGGGGGCGGAGGCGAGTAAACGCGACGGCGCGCGCGTAATATATCATTACGAAAACAATATTATTACCGCCGTTGTTGCCGGTACGGCGAGTCGGCGCACACGACTCTTGTGGCGGGGTACCGGTTCCGGCGTTTTATGTCTCCGGCACGTTTTCGCTGTCGGCCGACGATCGTGACCCCCACGCCCGGGCACGGACCGCCGCCGCCGCCGGGAAGCTACGGCCCGGCTCGTGCCGTACGAATTACGATTTCGAGCCGCGCGGCGTGCGCCCGAGACCTTTTCATTCCATTCGTGGGGTCCCCGTCGGACCCCGCCGTTGCGCCCGATGGCCGGCCGACCCGCGGTAACGGCGACGCCGGCTTCCCGGGCGTCCGGCACGTAATAACACAGGCGCGGTAAACGTTCCCGCGAAAACGGCGGGCACACCGCGCGCGTACAGTGTTAACACACTCCGCCGCCGCCGCCGAGTTATTATTACGGGCGAATATTGCACGACGAGCCGCGAGGGCCGTCGTATTTTACATTATCGCCCCGGCTCGCCGCGTTCACAGCCATTACCCGCGGAACGCGATGATTATTTAAAACGTGTAAAAAAAAAAAAATAAAAAAATAAAACGGAGGAAAAAAAAAGCAGCCTCGGCCTGGGTGCAGAACGGAAGCCGCGCGACGCTCGTTAAAATCGTTATCGTTCGAGGTATTTTACATTCCGAGCGGGCCGTTTATTTTTTCAACTGTGAACAACTCTTCTACCGGCAATTAGATTCCGCTCCTACTATCAAATGTTGCGCTCTTTCCGAAAGCAAATCCAACTGCGGTGGTACGTTAAGACGGTCGTTTTTCTGATTTTTCCAGGGGTTTTCAAAATAAATGGGAAAACCGGGAAAAATGGAAACATATGTACAAAATGTATGCCTTTCAAACCGTAAATATTACGGCCTTTCAAAACACGTGTAACCAAACTCCGCTCAGAATCGTTTATTTTTGCTCGAAAATATAAATTGAATTCTCCTCTATTAACTTAACCTTTTTTTTTTAATATAATCTAAAATATTTTAGATTTAAAAAAAAAAAAGATAAAATTCGCGGAGGAAATTTATAATTGTACGCAAAGATAAACCATTACTAACGAAAAACGATTCAAAACTATGTTCGTTTAGATGTCATGTTTTGTATATTTACGAATTTCGTCAAAATTCT